GTCCGGTATTTCTGTCGTCACCATGTCAGAATACCAGGCCAGCCGCTCAGCTCTTCTCTCTTGCAGGACCTTACTTGTTCCTCGCTCCAGCGCTGCAGTCTTCCCACGGCAGCTTCTGTGACAGCCAGGTGCCCACTGAGCATGCGCGAGAAGCGCTGCGCTTTGTGAATGGTCCGGCGTCTTCTGGGACACATGACAGGTCCCAGAAGGCTCCGGGCCATTCACAAAGCGCAGCGCTTCTCGCGCATGTGCAGTGGGCACCCGGTTGTCACAGGAGCCACCGTGGGAAGAAGGAAGGACAACTCCGTGGAAGTGGGAGCGGGTACCTGTCAAATTCAGGTACCCGTTCCCCCTCCCTCCCCAAAGGTCCGCAGTCTCTGGTCATCTCCTTTACTGTCTGCAGTCTCTGGTCATCCCCTGCACTGTCTGCAGTCTCTGGTCATCTCCTGTACTGTGTCCGCAGTCTCTGGTCATCCCCTGTACTGTGTCCGCAGTCTCTGGTCATCCCCTGTACTGTGTCCGCAGTCTCTGGTCATCCCCTGTACTGTGTCCGCAGTCTCTGGTCATCCCCTGTACTGTGTCCGCAGTCTCTGGTCATCCCCTGTACTGTGTCCGCAGTCTCTGGTCATCCCCTGTACTGTGTCCGCAGTCTCTGGTCATCCCCTGTACTGTGTCCGCAGTCTCTGGTCATCCCCTGTACTGTGTCCGCAGTCTCTGGTCATCCCCTGTACTGTGTCCGCAGTCTCTGGTCATCTGTACTGTGTCCGCAGTCTCTGGGATCATCCCCCTGTACTGTGTCCGCAGTCTCTGGTCATCTCCTGTACTGTGTCTGCAGTCCATTGGTTCAGAATATTTTTTTTCTTGTTTTTCTCCTCTAAAACCTAGGCAGGTCTTATGGTCAGGTGCGTCTTATGGAGCAAAAAATACGGTATGTAACCGCTTCCTGACCACCCTATAGCGGAAATACTGCCACAGGGCGCCACGGGCGTGGTTTTCACGCCCCTCCCAGATAGCGTCAGTACACCAGTAATCACATTTAACCCCTTGATTGCCAGGAACACACTCATACACAATAAACCTCCATTGCTAGTATAGTGTTTGAACGAATGAATATCTTGATCAGATCAGCACTATACCAGCGCTCACATTAGTATAGTGTCCCCAAAAACACAGCGTCTTTGGATCAGCCCCGAAAGCTGCCAACACCTGCATTTAGCCCCATTGCTTACCCCCCTCAAACAGCAAGTGCAGTGTCAGTAGGTCACTGTCACTTGATACATTGCACACAGAACCGCAGTGTTCGTAGAATCAGGCCTGATCTCTGCTTGCACTTGCAGGTAAATTTTGATGACTCTCATATGCAGCAGAGTGCCAGTACTAGTGCCATGCTACCTTTTGGTGAACTGGCGAGCACCAGTGGCCTAGTACATCCTGGTCTTTCATATACCAGAACTGCAGTATCACTTGGTGACATGGCGAGTCCCATAAGTGCAGTACAAGCTGGTGCGGTGGCGAGCACAAGTATTGTCCCGCAACCACCAAAAATTCACACACAGGCCATAGAGCCCCTAGTTTTCTTCTGGATGTGCTTGCAAATCCTGATTGGCAGCCCACAAATTCTGCAGCACCAGTACTTCCCCCATTCACTGCCCAACCCGGAATTCAGGTGGAAACAGCAAATTTAACTACTCCCCTTGATTTTTGGAGCTGTTTTTCACGGAATATCTGTATGCACTGATTGTGGATCAAAGCAATTTATATGCACAACAATTTATTGCCGCCAACTCAAATTCAAACCTTGCCAGACCATTCGCATGGAAACGCATTATGGTTTCCGAATTTAAATTTTTTTTGGACCTTACCCTCAATATGGGCTTTACTAAAAAAAATGAATTGTGGTTGTATTGGTCCACAGACTTGATTCATCATATGCTCATGTTCTCTGCTGCCATGGCCAGGCATAGATATGAGAGTATAATGTGTTTTATACACAATACACTCTGTCGTTCTCGAGGTGACCCTGAATTTGAACGACTCCACAAAATTCAGCCCTTCGTAAATCACCTTAACCAAAAATTTTCAGATGTCTATAAACATCATCCTGATTTTGCAGATGTCTATACTCCCCAGCAAAACATCTGCGTTGAGTCCCTCATTAGCTTTTCTGGCCGCCTTGCATTCATACAATTTCTCCCCAGCAAGCGTGCCAGATATGGGGTCAAGATGTAGAAGACCTGTGAGAGGGCAACAATCTATACATATAAGTTTCGGATTTATCAGGGAAAAGATACGTGGAGCCCCCCGGATGCCCAGACTACATGGGGAGTAGTGGCAAGATAGTTTGGGACTTGGCGTCATCCTTTTTACATATGGGGTACCACTTATAAGTGGACAATTTTTATTTAAGCATGCCACTATTTAGACATTTGTACATTCTTGGAACTGGTGCATGTGGCACCGTGCGACCTAATGTGTGCCCACCTTTAGAAGTGGGTGGATGCGGGGTGGTATATTCTAATGGTGAGAATACCACACACTTTTTCTGGCAGAGATTTCTTCTCTTTTTTTCATTCAGCCCACAGGCTGCATACAAAAAAAAAAAAAAACATAGCATATATACCCAACAAAGACCAGCAACATACTGGTACATCACTGGACTTTGAATGGTTATACCAGGATGATGCCTACAGTTGCAGAGGGCATCCTCTAGAGGGCAAGTGGTTAAACTATGTATTTGTGTATTTATGTATGTATTTATTTATTTATTGTGAAAAAGTGGTGGCAACTCTGAACACACCTGCTGCTAACTGTAAAAGTGGCACAACATTACCAGTGTTAAACATAATACAGTTGCAAGAAAAAGTATAACCCCTTTTATGTGGAGTTTTGCATGAATTGGGAATAAAATGTGCTCTGAACGTCATCTAAGTCACAACAATAGAAGAACACAGTCTGCTGAACATAATACTACACAAACATTAGATGTTGCCATGGTTTAATTGCACATAACATGTAAACATTCACAGTGGCAGGGAGGAAAAAGTATGTGAACCTTTGGACTTTGTAACTGGTTGACCCTCCTTTGGCAGCAATAACCTTGATTGTTTCCTGTAGTTGCCATCAGACCTGCACCACGATCTGGAGTAATTTTGGACCACTCCTCTTCACAAAACTGTTTCAGTGTAGCAATATTCTTGGGATGTCTGTGTGAATCGCTCTCTTAAGGTCATGCCACAGCATTTCAATCGGGTTGAGGTCAGGACTCTGACTGGGCCACTCCAGAAGGCGTATTCTGTGCTGTTGCAGCCATTGTTTTGTTGAATTACTTGTATGCTTTGGGTCATTGTCCTGTTGCATCACCCATCCTCTGCGGAGCTTCAGTTGGCGGACAGATGGTCGTACGTTTTCCTGCAAAATGTCTTGATAAACTCTGTAATTCATTTTCCCATCAATGACAGCAATCCATCCAGGCCCTGAGGCAGCAAAGCAGCCCCAAACCATGATGCTCCCTCCGCCATTTTTACAGTGGGGATGAGGTTTTGATGTTGGTGTGCTGGGCCTTTTTTTCTCCACACATAGTTTGTGTGTTCTTCCCAAACAACTCAATCTTGGTTTCATCTGTCCACAGTATATTCTGCCAGTAGTGCTGTGGAACATCCAGGTGCTCTTTTGCAAACTTCAAACGTGCTGCAATCTTCTTTTTGGACAGCAATGGCTTCCTCCGTGGTGTCCTCCCATGTACTCCATTCTTGTTTCATGTTTTCCTTATTGTAGATGTGTCAACAAAAAATGTTAGCATGTGCCAGAGATTTCTGTAGGTCTTTAGCTGACACTCTGGGATTCTTCTTTACCTCATGCAGCATTCTGCCTGTGCTCTTGCAGTCATTTTTACAGGACGACCACGCCCTAGGGAGAGTAGCAACAGTGCTAAACTTTCTCCATTTGTAGACAGTCTGTCTTACCGTGGACACATGAACATCAAGGCTTTTGGAGATACTTTTGTAACCCTTTCCAGCTTCTTGCAAGTCAACAATTCTTGATCGTAGGTCTTCTGAGAGCTCTTTTCTGCGAGGCAACACCAGACAGTGCTTCTTGAAACCAGTAAACCCAAAACAGGTGTGTGTTTTTTAAGGGCAGGACAGCTGTCAGCAACACATCCAATATCATCACACTGATTGGAGTCAAGGTTGACTCACTTCTGGCTCCAATTAGCTCTGGGAGAAGTCATTAAGCTAGGGCCTCACATATTCCTCCCTGCACTGTGAATGTTTACATGTTGTGTGCAATTAAACCATGGCAACATCTAATGTTAGTGTAGTATTATGTTCAGCAGACTATTGTTGTGACTTAGATGACGTTCAGAGCACATTTTATGCCCAATCATAAAACTCCATAATCCCAAGGGGTTCACATACTTTTTCTTGCAACTGTATTTTATTGTATAGCAAACTTAAAACAAGACTCTACTGACAAGGAGCAAGGACCTGGGGCTCAACATATTTGTACATTTTTTTTTTGATTGTCTCTGCCACTGACTCCAGAGTAATGCAGTTGCCCTTTATGGATATATTACCATTGAAGCTGCGCAAACATGTATAAAATACGGTTTTAAGCACTACTGTAGCAGCTAATTTTTCACAATTGTTAGTAATCAACTGGGCTTGAACATTTTTTTTTGAAAATGAAGGGAAAATTTTTTTGCTTGATTTTGTATGCCACCAGCAATCTCATGTACTGCATTCATTCTGTTCATTACTCCTTACTCATTCAGGCTCATTAGTATAAAAAGTAAACAATTTGTTGGTATATTTTTTGCATGACAAAAAATAGTGAAATACAAAAGTCAAGCGTGGTTTCCGTGATAAAGCTTGCCATAAAGACTGTGCACGTGAAAAAAAAGAAACATTATATATATATATATATTTATATATATATGCACACTATATTGCCAAAAGTATTCAATGAAATCTCCATGGCCACAGATATATAAAATCAAGCACCTAGGCATGCAGACTGCTTCTACAAATATTTGTGAAAGAATGGGTTGCTCTCAGGAGTTTAGTGAATTCAAGCGTGTACCGTGATAGGTTGCACCTGTGCAATAAGTCAATGAAATTTCCTTGTTATTAAATATTCCACGGTCAACTGTTAGTGGTGTTATAACAAAAGGTGGAAGCAACTGGGAAGAACAGCAAGTGGTAAGCCACTTAAAATGAGAGAGTGGTGTCAGCGCATGCTGAAGCGCACAGTGCTCAGAAGTTGCCAAATATCTGCAGACTCAATAGCTAAAGACTTCCAAACTTCACGTGGCCTTCAGATTAGCACAACAACAGTGTGTAGAGAGCTTCATGGAATGGGTTTCCATGGCCGAGCAGCTGCATCCAAGCCTTACATCACCAAGTGCAATGCAGTGTCAGAGCAGTGGAGAAATCTTCTCTGGAGTGATGAATCGCGCTTCTCTGTCTGGCAATCTGATGGACATGTCTGGGTTTGGTGGTTGCCAGGAGAATGGTACTTGCCTGACTGCATTGTGCCCTTAGTTCCAGTGAAGCAAAATCTTAAGGCATCAGCATACCAAGACATTTTGGACAATTTCATACTCCCAACTTTTTGGGAACAGTTTGGGGATGGTCCCGTCCTGTTCCAACATGACTGCGCACCAGTGCACAAATCAAGGTCCATAAAAACATGGATGAATGAGTTTGGGGTGGAGGAACTTGACTGGCCTGCACAAAGTCCTGACCTCAACCCAATAGAACACCTTTAGGATGAATTAGAGCAGAAACTGTGAGCCAGGTCTTCTTGCCCGACAGCCGTGCCTGACCTCACAATGTGCTTCTGGAAGAATGGTCAAACATTCCCATAGACACACTCCTAAACCTTGTGGGCAGTCTTCCCAGAAGAGTTGCAGCTGTTATAGCTGCAGTATTGAACCCTATAGACTAAGACTGGGATGCCATTAAAGTTCATGTGCGTGTAAAGACAGCTGTCCCAATACTTTTGGCAATATAGTGTGTGTATATATATATATATATATATACAGACTCCCATCTGTCCTTTCAGCCCAAAATCCAATCACTGTCCAAATCTTGTAGACTTCACCTCTGCAACATCTCCAAGATACGCCCGTTCCTAACCTCGGAAACCACTAAGCAACTTATTCACTCCCTTGTTATATCTCACCTTGATTATTGTAACTCCCTCCATATTGGCCTACCTCATTGCAGGCTATCACCTCTTCAGTCTATCATGAATTCTGCTGCCAGACTCATCCACCTTACTAACCGTTCTGTATCTGCCACCCCTCTCTGCCAATCCCTCCACTGGCTTCCCGTTGCCCAACGGATAAAATTCAAAACAATAATAGCGTATAAAGCCATTTATAACTCTGCCCCCAAATTACATCACCGATCTTGTCTCTAAATATCACAGACACCGTACTATCCGCTCCTCGCAAGACCTCCTACTGTCTAGCGCCCTTGTCTCCTTCTCCCATGCTCATCTCCAGGACTTCTCCAGAGCTTCCCCCATCCTCTGGAACTCTCTACCCCAATTTATTAGACTATCGCCTACTCTGCTCACTTTTAGGCGATCTCTGATAAAATCTCTTCAAGGAAGCCTACCCTCAGCTAATACTAGAATCTTCTACTCTTCCAACCAGTCCATCCCCCACAGTTACTACCTTTTGTACCACTGTCCCCTCCCTCCTAGATTGTAAGCTCCAAGGAGCAGGGCCCTCAAATCCCTCTTGTATTGAACTGTATTGTTGCTGTATTGTCTTCCGTTATATTGTAAAGCGCTGAGCAAACTGTTGGCGCTATATAAATCTCCTGTATAATATTAATAATAATAATAATAATATATATATAGATATATATATATATATATATTTATTTTTTTTTTTTTTCTCACACCTTGGTCCACAGTGAAGCAAACTGACAGAGACTCCTTTAAACTGTGCATACCACCATTGACACGCTATGTGCATCAAGGCTTACTGGAAGAATGGTTCCCAGTTCCAAAAGGTTAGAAAACACTTTTGTAAAATCCCCAAAACAGGATATAGGATTAACAACCAGCATGCTCTCCAGGAACGATGACACACAAAGGATATGAAAATCCTTAAAAAAAAAAATTCCAGTGACACAAATCATATGATTCAATGTATTAAAATTGATTAAAATCAATAAAGCAATGCACAAAAAATTTGAATTCAAGAGAGCCAAACAGATGAGAATACAATTAATGGAAGATAGAGATTGCCTTTTGGGCAAGATAACTGTGGTATTATTGCCTCCTACTGCTGTTCAGCACAGGCCATAAATTCACCAAAGGGTTCTTATTCCAGGAGCTGGAATAGGAGCAGCTACACAGCCAAAGGTTTTACCAAGTTGAGTGTGACTTGGGGACATTTTTTTCAAATTTGTTTTTTGGGGGGGGGAATGTGGAAAGAGATGAATGAGGAAAGGCAATAGGGGAGCTAAATATGTGATGCTTTGGTGTACACTACTCTATCACACAAACATGCAGTGATATGTTGCAAACAAAGGGTAGCTTTCCCTGTGTAAGTAACAAGTGTACCTTGTGGACCCCCAAAAATATATCTTCCCCAAAAAATCCTAAAACACTAAACCAATTAAAGAAAACAACACAACAAAACAGGAGGGGGTGGTGGGTATTAGGCCTGGGCAGCAGCTAGATAGCAATGACCACTGTTGCTGATGCACACAAAAAGCAGTCCCAAAGAGGACCTTTGAACACAGCGGGGGGGGGGGGGGGGGGCAAAAATATATCCTACAGTTCCAAGAGTAGCCATGGCACACTATGCTTCAGGTAAATGCTCAGCTGCTCTTCCAAAAAGAAATCCAAATCCAAAACTAGTATAGAAACACTCACGGGTCTTGCAGAGAAGGTAGATCAAAACAGCAGTATTTTTATTGTCAATGTTTTGATGATGCTCAGTCCATCTTTCTCAAAAGGTCTTGAGAAAAATGGACTGAACTTCAATGAAAATTTGACAATAAAAACATTGCTGTTTTGATCTACAGTGGGGCAAAAAAGTATTTAGTCAGCCACCAATTGTGCAAGATCTCCCACTTAAAAAGATGAGAGAGGCCTGTAATTGGCATCATAGGTAGACCTCAACTATGAGAGACAAAATGAGAAAACAAATCCAGACATTCACATTGGCTGATTTGGAAAGAATTTATTTGCAAATTATGGTGGAAAATAAGTATTTGGTCACCTACAAACAAGCAAGATTTCTGGCTCTCACAGACCTGTACCTTCTTCTTTAAGAGGCTCCTCTGTCCAGCACACATTACCTGTATCAATGGCACCTGTTTGAACTTGTTATCAGTCTAAAAGACACCTGTCCACAACCTCAAACAGTCACACTCCAAATTCCACTATGGTGAAGACCAGAGAGCTGTCGAAGGACACCAGAAACAAAATTGTAGACCTGCACTAGGCTGGAAAGACTGAATCTGCAATAGGCAAGCAGCTTGATGTGAACAAATCAACTGTGGGAGCAATAATTAGAAAATGGAAGACCCCGGTGGGGTCAAAATGATCACAAGAACGGTGAGCAAAAATCCCAGGACCACACGGGTGGACCTAGTGAATGACCTGCGGAGAGCTGGGACCAACGTAACAAAGGCTACCATCAGTAACACACTACGCCGCCAGGGATTCAGATCCTGCAGTGCCAGACGTGTCCCCCTGCTTAAGCCAGTACATGTCCGGGCCCGTCTGAAGTTTTCTAGAGAGCAATGGATGATCCAGAAGAGGATTGGGAGAATGTCATATGGTCAGATGAAACCAAAATAGAACTGTTTGGTAGAAACACAACTCGTCGTGTTTGGAGGAGAGAGAATGCTGAGTTCCATCCAAAGAACACCATACCTACTGTGAAGCATGGGGGTGGCAACATCATGCTTTGGGGCTGTTTCTCCACAAAGGGACTAGGACGACTGATCCATGTACAGGACAGAATGAATGGGGCCATGTATCGTGAGATTTTGAGTGCAAACCTCCTTCCATCAGCAAGGGCATTGAAGATGAAACGTGGCTGGGTCTTCCAGCATGACAATGATCCCAAACATACTGCCCGGGCAACGAAGGAGTGGCTTCGTAAGGAAGCATTTCAAGGTCCTGGAGTGGCCTAGCCAGTCTCCAGATCTCAACCCCATAGAAAACCTTTGGAGGGAGTTTAAAGTCTGTGTTGCCCAGCGACATCCCCAAAACATCACTGCTCTAGAGGAGATCTGCATGGAGGAATGGGCCAACATGCCAGCAACAGTGTTTGCCAACCTTGTGAAGACTTATAGGAAACGTTTGACCCCTGTAATTGCCAACAAAGGATATATAGCAAAGTATTGAGATGAACTTTTGATATTGACCAAATACTTATTTTCCACCATAATTTTCAAATAAATTCTTTCCAAATCAGCCAATGTGATTGTCCGGATTTTTTTTCTCATTTTGTCTCTCATAGTTGAGGTCTACCTATGATGCCAATTACAGGCCTCTCTCATGTTTTTAAGTGGGAGAATTTGAACAATTGGTGGCTGACTAAATACATTTTTGCCCCACTGTACCTCCCCTGCAAGTGCCTCTATACTAGTTATGAAAATATATCTTAATGTGTAGCAACTAACTATTCCTACACAGACTGTCATCTCTCCCTAATCTACTCCAACAGACACTGTCAAAAGGCTGCTGGGAACCCTGATTTATATAGTTAGGGGGCTGGCACATAAGAAACCCCAATTATAGACTTAAAATCATTTTTCTTCAGACCACACATTAAAGATGTGCATGATGAAAAAACTTGTTTAGTTTAGCTTCGTATTCATTCATTAAGTCAATCATTTTGTTTAGTCATATTGTTAGAATGATTTGTTTTCAGAATTAATTTAGTATATTCGGATTCCATTTGTGTATTTGTTGTTTCAATTCAATTCATATTTTTGGAAGTTATTTTGGAAGATTCAGATTAATTTCTTATGTTTCCAGTGTGACTTGCCTGCAACTTCTATGCAATGTGGATGCCTTGCCACTTGCTTGCGATTTTGATGCAACTTGCTGGGGATTTGATGTTTTGAGACTTTGGCTTTGGCCAATTATACCAATACAGAGTGTGGCAGACATTATTGAACTTAATAATTATTTTTATTTTTTTTTATTGTTTTATTGTTTTTTTATTTGTTTTATTATTTTATTTGTTTTATATTTGTTTTATTGCAACTTGCTTGAGACTTGATGTTTTGAGACTTTGGCTTTGGCCAATCATAACAATACAGAGTGTGGCAGACATAATTGAACTTACAAAAACCTCTGAAGTCGCAAAGAAATAAAACAAGTAAATTTGTTGTTTACATTATAATTTATTCAGGTTGAAACGTATTATTGTGATTTGGAGATTCGGATACATCTGAATCTCCGATAAACAAACATTTCATCAAAATTTCAATTTGTAACAAAATGAATCGCACCTCTGCCACATATACATGATGCCGAGTCCGGTCTTGGAA